TCAGTCTTCCCTCCACTGGTTCACGCCCCAGATGACCACAACAGCCCAGACTAGGGCAGGCCAAAGCCAAGAGCCAGGAATTCCATCCAGTCTCCTAGGTGGGGGGCAGGGACCCAAGTACTTGAACCATCTTCTGCTTTCCCAGGTACATTAGCAGGGAGCTGGATCGAAGTGGAACTCATATGGGATGCTGGTGTCGCTAGTGGTGGCTTAACCCTGTGCACCACAACACTGGCTCCAAGAAATCTATTTTTTTAAAAAGAAGGGATTGTAACTCAGCACAGTTGGTAAGTGATAATAGTATGGAATTAGGGTTGGCGCCTAAGCCTGCCTCCAGAGTCAGTGGTCTTTGTGCTGTACAGCGTAGCCTCACTCTGCAATCTGATTTGACGATGATAATAGCACATTGTTAGGAGGCTTTAGGAAGGTAATGTGTCCCCCACAGGGCTTGGCCCAAAAAAGGTGCTACGTAAATGTTAACTTCCTCTTACCTGGGCCGTTTCTGTGTTGTGGGGAGGAACAGAAAGGTCAAGAAGACCGCCCAGGATGGTTCCCCCGTGTGTTCTGTCAGAATTTCCCAACCACCTTCCTGGACAGCTTCGTTGATCTTGCTCATGCTTGCTCCATCATCACAGTTACATTTATGTTCAAAAGGTCCCTAGGGCTTGTTTTCATTTTTTTTTCTTCATGTGGCCACAGAATGCTTCTTTCTGAAAGTCCCCTCTGAAGCACTCTGCTGGTCCATGTGACAGTTCGTCAGGCCCTGATTCCCTGCTCTCCTTTGGGTACAAACCTATCTAATTAGAGCAAGGCCACACCTCTTCAGAAGATCCGTTGGCATCAGGTGGACAGGAATCTCTACCCTTGCATCTGTTAGCACTGGCATAAATCTAGAAAGACTACTGTTCATTCAAAACTGTGAAGTCCATGGATAATGTCCAGAAAACACAAGATAATAAAAAAAATAGAAGATATTTATTTCAAAGGCAGAGTCACAGAGAGCAAGAGAGAGAGAGCCTCCTTCTGCTGGTTCACTCCCCAAAAGGCCTCAACGGCTGGGGTTGGACTGTCTGAAGCCAGGAGCCTGGAACTCCATCCAGGTCTCCCACATGGGTGCAGGAGCCCAAGGACTTGGGCCATCTTCCACTGTCTTCCTAGGTGCATTAACAGGGAGCTAGATGAAAAATTGAGCAACTGGGACTCGAATGGACACCCATATGGGATGCCAGTTTTGTAGACTGTGGCCCAACTGCTGTGCCATAACATGGGCCCCCAGATAATAAAAATTTACATGATAGGGGCCAGCACTGTGGCACAGCGGCTTAACACTCTGGCCTGAAGTGCCAGCATCCCATTTGGGCACTGGTTCGAGACCCAGCTGCTCCACTTCCGATCCAGCTCTCTGCTATGGCCTGGGAAAGCAGTAGAGGACGGCCCAAGTTCTTGGGCCCCTGCACCCATGTGGGAAACCTGGAAAAAGCTCCTGGCTTCTAGCTCCTGGCTCCTGGCTTCTAGCTCCTGGCTCCTGGCTTTGAATCGGTGCAGCTCCGGCCATTGCGGCCAGTTGGGGAGTGAACCATCAGATGGAAGACCTCTCTCTCTGCCTCTCCTCTCTGTGTAACTCTGGCTTTCAAATAAATAATAAATCTTTAAGAATAAATTTACAGCCGACGCCGTGGCTCAATAGGCTAATCTTCCGCCTTGCGGCGCCGGCACACCGGGTTCTAGTCCCGGTCGGGGCGCCGGATTCTGTCCTGGTTGCCCCTCTTCCAGGCCAGCTCTCTGCTGTGGCCAGGGAGTGCAGTGGAGGATGGCCCAAGTCCTTGGGCCCTGAACCCACATGGGAGACCAGGATAAGCACCTGGCTCCTGCTATCGGATCAACGCGGTGTGCTGGCCACAGCACGCTGGCCACAGCGGTCATTGGAAGGTGAACCAACGGCAAAGGAAGACCTTTCTCTCTGTCTCTCTCTCTCACTGTCCACTCTGCCTGTAAAAATAAATAAATAAATAAATAAATTTATGTGATAAACACCTACAGAAAATGTTTGCTTTTCTTGTCTCTGCACAGCCAATAATTTCTGAAGATCAGACAGCAGCCCTGATGGCCCATCTCTTTGAAATGGGATTCTGTGACAGGCAGCTGAACCTGAGGCTGCTGAGGAAACACAATTACAACATTCTGGAGGTTGTGACGGAACTCCTTCAGCTCAACAACAATGACTGGTACAGCCACCGCTACTGAGGACTGACCTTGCATTAAATAACTTTCTGCTGCTCACAGATGATCTTTATTCTGTCAGGGGTGTGGGGTAGAAGCCCTTGCTTGTTTTTGAATCTGATGAATCTAAATAGAGCCCATCGTTGAATTATCAGGACAGTACCTGTCACAGTATTTTTTGGAGTAAATCAAACACCAGAACTTAAGTTTTTGCTTTAGACATTGGATGAATAATAGGAAGACAGTTTTTCAATTGATTTGGATGAAACTCCCTTTTTTCTCCATTTTAGTGCATTGAAGAGTAGAACTTGAATTCCTGTAGAACCCGTTTTTTCCTCTGCTTGTACTGAAGTTGAGTGTTTTCCTTTGGCTAACGTGGCTGTTTCTATGGGGCTCTCTGTTGTCAGTTTTTAAAATAATCTGGGAGTTTTCCAGAGTTTTCCTCATAATCTCTGTAGCCTACCCCAGGCCTTGTAGTTACATGCCATGGAAATGACAACCAGAGCATGGTGGAGTATCGGTACTCTTCCTGTCATTTTCTGCAGGACTTAGAGTTGGCATCATTGCTTTCTAAAGACTTGGTGCATAAGAGCACCACCTTCCAGGGGTGAAAGGAGCGAAGTGCTAATTAACCCACCAGCACCTATTGAGCAGTGTCTCTTATAGTAATTTTGCATACATTTTTATTTAAGGAAAAATCTTTAAGTAGGTAGCCATGAAATATTTTGCTAATCCTATAGAGAAGGGGGAAAGAACCTATTACTTACGGGGAAAAGTAAATTTTAACAGTTACCTTTTTCTTAATGTCAGGACAGATCTTATTTTACAGTAGAGCAGGCAGAGGGAAAGGCAAGCAGGCCCCTGCACGGATCTCAGGGAGGTCCAGGGGTGGGCGAGTGAGTGTGTGAGAGGCACGGGAATGCTGGTGACTCCCTGAGCGTTTGAAATCCACTCGGTGGAATCCAATCCAGAGAGCCTGGAGCTGGAAAAAGTGGCTTGTGCTTTGCAAGATTTGGATGCAGGTCAATTCCCTGAAAAAGTGTAGGGCAGGTGGGGAAGAGCTGGCTTCTAAGGGACCAGGTGCTCACTCGGGGGAAGAGTCTTGGGTTCAGGGGAAGGAAAGGGTTAACAGACGCTACAAATTTTACTCTTGAAAGTGACTTTCAGAAGAGGCCGAACCCCGACCCAAAAAAGGAAGGAGTTACCATAGTATTATTCACCAACGTTGGTATTTATGATGAATGGTGATCTTAAATGAACCATTAGCTACTAAATAAACTGTAAGCCAAACAGGATGGTCATTGTTTAAAACGTTTGTAGCGGGTTTCTGGGGAGAAGCCAGCCGCAGGATGAGTGTCATTGAGTCCACTTAGGGCGGGGCCTGTGGTGGCCATCAGTCTCACAGTGGGGGTCCAGGAGGGTCGGGTCCGTCGGCCGCCCCGTTGTACTTGTACATAACCGCTTAAAGAATGGTGAAATAAATGTTATTTGAAACTCCTACCTGGGCTGCTTGGTCCTTGGGGAAACCGCGCGCCGGCGCTCGGGAGTCCTCAACCCCGGGGTGACCCTCCGAGTGGAGGGGCGTCCCGGGGCCCCGTCAAAGCCTGCCGAGAGGGCGGTGCCGCCGCGAGCGGAGGGGCGGGGAAAGGGGCGGGCGTCCCGGGGCCCCAGTCGAAGCCTGCCGAGAGGGCGGTGCCGCCGCGAGCGGAGGGGCGGGGAAAGGGGCGGGCGTCCCGGGGCCCCAGTCGAAGCCTGCCGAAAGGGCGGGACCGCCGCGAGCGGAGGGGCGGGACCGCAGGGAGGGGCGGGGCGTCCTGGGCCCCCGGTCAAAGCTTGCCGAGAGGACGCCGCCGCCGCACGCAGCCGTTTTCGTCGCTACCGTCTCCCGGGCTGAGACCCCCTCAGTCTCCTGGCCCGACACGCAGGCACACGCGGGAACCAAGCCCGTCTAACGGCCTCTCGGGGTGTCGGGCAGAACTTGAAGTCCTGCCCCAATGAAGGGCCCGGCCCAAGGCAGAGCTCCCGAGTAGGGCGGAAAGCAGCCTGCACCCTGGGGAGACCAGAGCCCTGCTCCCGCGGAGCCTCGCCTGGAGGAGCCCGGATCCCACACCTGAGCCAGGTGAGGCTCCCTTGTTACAGCCGGGGAGGATGTGAATGCGGCTCGCTCTGGAGACTTGGGGAAGGGTCCGAGTTTAGCTTTGGCCGTGACCCTTCTCAGGCTTGCTTTCTGCTCGCCTCAGAAAGCAGTGTGGGAGAGGTTTGTCTCCTTGGTAAGGTTCTCGGCCACACCTGTGACCGGAGCCGCCTATCTCCTCATTAGAAGAATCCCTGATTCCCGTTAAGCCCGCAGCCCACCCGGGCCCTGGCATGGAAGCTTCCCTCCCACACCATGGTTGGAAGCTTCCCTTCCACACCATGGTTGGGAGCTTGAAGGGACTCTCCAGACATGGCCTTTCCCGCCGCCCCACAGCCCTGTCCAGCTGCCATCCAAGTGTCAGTTAAGTAACTTTCCCAGAAGAAAAAAAAAAAAAAAGCTCTGCCATTCACTTAATGGAAGTCGTTTTTCTGTTGTTACCCTTTTGTAGGCAGAGTTGAGATGCACGGAAATCCTAAGAGCCCTGCTAACTGCTTGTGCATCTCCCTAAGGCTTGAGGTTGCTTAAATGCTTAGGGCTCCTTGCCAATCTTGAGAACGTAAAACCAAAATCACATCCGGTGTCAGGTGCTAGCGGCTTAAGCACTGAACTTTGGTCTTTGTCATTAGTGGAAAACTCCTGAGCGATGGGTGCCGCGTTCTCCCAGCCAGGCTGCCGGCAGGAGGATGAGGATGAGTGGATCCTGCGCCCGGACTCCGCCGTGGGTGTCAAGGCTGCCCGCTACTCCAGCACTGGGAGCAGCCGGTCGTGTTCCTGCATGCCTCGCGAGGGCCGCTTTGTGATTTGTCCCACCTGCCAAGGGAATGGGGAGATCCCCCGAGGTGAGTGGCCCAAGGCTCTGGAAATAGTCTAGAATCCACAAGAAACTCCCAGCCAGCTACTGCAGCCCAGCCCCTCTGGGTTTCTGTGAATGGGGCTGGTTCTGCTCCCAGCTCTGGGCTTCTGGATCTCGGGCTGGCCAGGGAGGTGCTAACTATCCCTGGGTTCTCCTCCCCTACTTGTACAAGGGATCTTCAACAAGTTCATGGACGGGGGCAGGCATTCGGCACAGTGGTTTAGACACTGCTTAGAACAGCAGCACCCCATGTCAGAATGCCTAGGGTCAGGTCCCGGCTCTGTTTCCAAGTCCAGCTTCTTGCTAACGCACACCCTGGGAGATAGCAGGAGATGGCTCAACTACGTGGGTTCCTGCCACCATGTTGGAGACCCGGTCCTGCTGCTGTGGGTGACTGAGGACTGAGCCTGTGGATGAAATATCTGTCTCTGTGCCTCTCTCCTCCTTTCAGATAAGCAACAATTTTAACATTTGGAGAAAATATGTATTATTTAAAAACTGCATGGATTTCAAAATTATTTGCATCAAAATTCTCTTTTACTTTATTTTTCCCATAAACCTCTGAGGCACCCTCCTCCGCCCTAGCCGGTGAAGGGAAGAGGAGCTTCCAGCCACTCCCTGGGCAACACTCTGCTTTAGGATTTAGGAAGTTACAGATTACTTCTCCAAAAAAGCAGGGTGTGTCTGCTTTCTTTCTTAAAGATTTATTTATTTATTCAAAAGGCAGAGTTATAGAGAGGCAGAAGCAGAGAGAGAGAGAGAGAGAGATCTGTCTAATTGGCCGCAACAGCCAGAGCTGTGCCGATCCAAAGCCAGGAGCTTCTTCCAGGTCTCCCAGGCGGGTGCAGGGGCCCTAGGACTTGGGCCATCTTCCACTGCTTTTCCAGGCCTTAGCAGAGAGCTGGATCAGAAGTAGAGCAGCCGGGACTTGAACCAGCACCCATATGGGATGCTGGCACTGCAGGTGGCGGCTCTACCCGCTATGCCACAATACCGGTGCCCTGGTGACTTTCAGAGTCTTCACATTTGTTCATGAAAATCTCACTTCCACACTAGAGGTTGCAAAGCTGGACTCTACCACTTGCTAGCGCATCAGTGCTGCGGCGCAGAGGCCGGTGCCCCTGACACTGCTGCGTGGCTGGAGGGGCCCCTGGGGGGAGGCTGCCAAGAAATACTCTTGACATGGATACTTCTTGCCCCTTCCACCCTCTTTCTCTCAACAGAGCTGGAGAAGCAGCTGGTGGCCCTCATCCCCTATGGGGACCAGAGGTTGAAACCCAGGCACACGTAAGCCCCTCTGTCTCCCCCACGCTACAGCCCATTGTCCCTGGGAGCTGCTCCAGTTACTTGTCTCCCCCATTTTGATCCTTTTAGATTTTTTGCCTATTTATTCTTCCCAGAGAACATAACCAGGCTCAAACATACTAGTTCCCTGTTTCCACAGAAAATCCTCCAGGGTGATGTTTAAGGAATCAGTAGCACTGGACACAGCAGATGGCTCCTGGGGCCCCTTGGTGCCCCTCCTGAAGCGTCACTGCTTCCAGGAAGCCTGCCCCCTCCCAGAGAGAGACGAAACCTCCGACTCTGCGGTTCCTCCTGGGGGAGAAAGTGACCCTGGCTGCCATGGATTTGGCAAAATAATTTTCCTAAGGGCTTCCCCGCTGCAGCAGTTCAGACCCACTTGCTTGCCTCCCAGTAGAGAAGATTCAGGACTCTCCGTGTTCATGTGGGTTTGCTCCTTCTGACGATAAGAGCCAGCATTCACTGAGCTTTTACTATGTGCTAGGATTTGTGGTTGGTGGTTTTGCACATATCAACCCTTAACAAATTTTAGGAAGCAGATACAGTTGTCCCCATCTTACAGACAAGGAAACTGAGGCTTAGGGAGGTGGAGTAGGCTGCTCAGCATTAGTAGAGAGCTGGGAAATGGAAGCCAGGCTGTCTGCCTCCCAGCCCTGGGTTCCTACCTGCTCTGAGACACATCCCGGGAGGTAAACGTGCATTTGTCAGGTAGGTGTGTGCAGGCAGGGGGGTCTGAAGCCCTCTCCAGGTTTCCTGGTGTTGACTTGTCCACTCCTCTGCCCCGTCCTGCTTTGCCACAGGAAGCTCTCCGTGTTCCTGGCGGTGCTCATCTGCCTGGTGGCGGCCTCCTCCACTGTCTTCTTCCTGTTCCCCCGGTCCATCGCAGTGCACCCTGCAGGCCTCAACTCCTCCACGGTGGCTGTGGACAAGGCAGATATCCACCTCAACATAACGGTGGGTGGGTGCCACTGGGCCCCGGCCCCTCCCCCACCCCAGTGCCACTTCCCAGTAGTCTTTGTCCTGTTTCATAGGGGCGGAGGGGCAGGGACATTGTAACACCAGAAGGTGTTGGGAGGAGCAACAGGAACCCCAAAAGGGATGGTGTAAGGGTTGGAGCTCTGCGAAGGCCCAGAAAATACACCTCAAGGTGGATGGGAGTGCAGTGCCTGAGGCTCTTTGCAGGGGATGCAAAGAAGCCGGCCAGGGTAGCACTGGGCCCTGAGCCAGCTTAGCCTCTTAAAGGTGACCTCTTGCCCTCGTGAACCCCTCTGAAGGGCCCCAGGGTCTGGTTCTGTGCACCTAAGGCCCATGGTGCTAGGGTGGCGCTTAGACCCGAGAGAGCCAGGCCTCTGCAACTGCCACCCTCACACCTCCTCCTCCTCGTCTTCCTCCCCAGAATATCTTGAACATCTCCAACAGCAACTACTACCCCATCACCGTGACCCGGCTGACCACCGAGGTTCTGCACCTGTCCCTCGTGGTGGGCCAGGTGTCCAACAAGCTCCTCCTGCACATCGGCCCTTTGGCCAGTGAACAGGTAACTCCTCTCTCCCTGGCTGGCCCGCTCACAGGTGTGCGGATGTGTGTGGTGGGAAGATGGCAGCCAGAGGGGGGACTAACCGTGTGTCCTTTTGGTTGACAGATGTTCTATGCAGTAGCCAGCAGGATCTGGGATGAAAACACATAGTGAGTACCCTGGATCTCCTCTGCTCCAGCCTCTTGCCTGGCTTGGAAGCCCAGTCAGTACCTGCTAAGTATCCTGAATGCTTGACAGCAGACTCGGCAGCCAGAGCTCGGCCTGCCCTCTGGCGGCCGGGACTACAGCGTGCCAGGGCTCAGCGTCTCCAGCCTCTGCCTCTTCGGACATAGAAGGGGCTGAAAAACAGGCTGGAATGCGGTTAATCGTTACAATATGCGACCTTGGACTCCTCAGCCTGAAGTTTGTTTTCTGCTGAGGGAGGGCCCAGCAGGCCGGGGCTAGAGTGATGCCTGCAGCAGGCGAGGGAGAGGGAAGGGGTGCAGTGGCATCGTGGGGCCCCTGGGGGAAGGAAAGGGCTCTGGGAGGCAAGGAAGCCCGGACCCCCAGGCCTCCTCTCAGCGGACGGTCCGTTCCAGGTAAAACGTGATCTCGTGTTCTTGTTCTCTCTCTCTCAGCAAAATATGTACCTGGCTGAAAATCAAAGTGCACCATGTGCTTTTGCACATCCAGTAAGTAGGCGTGGAGCTCTGGCGTCCCCTCTCTCGCTTCCTGCTTCAGTGTCACCCCAGCTCTGTGTCCAGGGGAACAAGAGTCATCCAAGCCCACCCCGGGCATGGGCATTGGGGTTGGCTCTTGGGAACAGCAAGTCCAGCCCTGTGCCTGGGTCTTACCTTGCCTACAAGCTATGCAGGTGACACAGCTGAGGCAGCCCTCCCAGGGACCTTTGCAGGGTGGGGAGCAGACAGGTGGAGGGAGGCGTGGGGGGAACCTTCCTTCTCCAGACAGAGAGCAAGACCGGTGTTTCCCTGGCAACGAGCCCTGCTTCCTCCCCAGGGGCACCCTGACCTATTCCTACCTGAGCCATTCAGAGCAGCTGGTCTTCCAGAGCTACGAATATGTGGACTGCCGCGGAAACACGTCGCTGCCCCACCCGCTGATCCCTCGCCCTCCGTGACCTGTCTGTGGTCCCTGCACTCCAGACACCTGCAGGCCTGGTCTGTGTCTCCATAGCCCCCGGGTGCCTGCACAAGCATGGTGGGGACTCTGCTCTGCCCAGGGGCCGTCCTGTGGCCTCCACGTGCGCGCTCACGTTCTCTGGTCCCCTGATTTCTTTCAGGGCTGCAGCAGACCCTGCTCCTACTCTGCCTTGACCCCACGCTGTCCCAGAGCTGCCTCAGAGGCCCAGAGTGGCACCTGCCCTTTCTGTGCTGAGCACCCTGGCGGCCTGGCCCCCCTGGTGCTGGCCCTCCTCCTGCCTGAATGTGGAGAAAGCTGCAGGTTTTTCTGCCCAGGTGGTAACAAAGTGACTCTGGGAACATCCAGCACCGTTTATGGAACCACACGTGTTCTCCTGGGACGAGGTGGTGCTGCCGGCCTGCTTCTCTCTAGTCACTGGGCCTCCACCCATCTGACGGGAGGACCCGTCAAGGCCCTTTGGCCCTGTGTCCTTCCTGGTCCACGCTGTCCCCGGTTCCTAGGAAGACAGAGCTGTTCCCCAGCGAAAGCATCGCTTCTCTGTGAAACAGTTTTATCGTTCTCTTCATAGAGGGAGCCAAGGTAGCAGGGGAGGGCGGAAGGCACCTGCCACCCCCGGGCCAACAGGGGAGGACAGAGCCAACACCAGGGTTAATTTAAAAGGTATTTTCTCACCAAAGGAGGGTTGCTAAGCCGGCACCTCCAGCCCCCATGAGAGGACAGAGGCAGGTCAAATGGCAGGCCCTGGTACTCTCTTCCAAAGCCTCCAAGAGATGGAGCGCTCCACATCCCACCAACGCTGCCGGGCTCCGTTCCACCCCAGCTCTGCACCAGAGCCCACCCCGCAGGCTCGGCGGCGTGGAGCGGCACGTCCCCAGGTCTGATCCAGACCTTCTCCTGTCACTTGGAGGTAGCTAAGGCTGCGATCACCCCTGCCCCCCAACCCCCGAGGCTCCGAGCAGAGGAGTCTCTGTGCTTTAGCCCAGCAGCATGGTATTTGCTCACTGACAGGAGCTGGGTCTTTCTCATTCAGACAGGTAGAGAGATGGAGATGGTGGGAACGCTGCCCGGGGAGTAGGAGGGATGGAGAGAGAGGAGGGGGTGACAGAAGCTGCCAACTGGCTGGCTGGGGGAGCCAGGGCAAGACAGGAGGCCGCGCTGTCTCCCTGGGTAGCTGAGCTCAAGGTGGTGCAGGCTGGAGCTGCTATGGTGTAGTCGCCAAATGGAAAGATTCGGCGTTGTGTGCAATAAACTGTACTTACAAGCGTTTTTTTAAGGTAGTTCTTATTATTTGACAGAGTCATAGACAGTGAGAGAGAGAGACAGAGAGAAAGGTCTTCCTTCCGCTGGTTCACTCCCCAAATGGCCACTATGGCCGGCGCTGCGCCGATCCGAAGCCAGGAGGCTGGTGCTTCTCCTGGTCTCCCATGCGGGTGCAGGGCCCAAGGACCTGGGCCATCCTCCACTGCCCTCCCAGGCCACAGCAGAGAGCTGGCCTGCAAGAGGAGCAACCGGGACAGAATCCGGCGCCCATATGGGATGCCAGCGCCGCAGGTAGAGGATTAACCAAGTGAGCCACTGCGCCGGCCCCTCTTTTTTATTTTTAAATTTCCTTATTTGAGGGGCAGAAAGAGTTCCCACTTATGCTGGTTCCTTCCCCAGATGCTCACAACATCCTGGGCTGGGCTGGAGCTGGAGCTGCAAGCTGGAAACTCGGTCCACATCCCCCCTGTGGGTGGCAGGAACCCAACCACTTGAGCCACCCCTGCTGCCTCTCAGCGTCTGCATTAGCAGGAAGCTGGAGCCGGGTATTGAAACCAGAGTGCCTATTCAAATCTACGCTGCTCTGCTTCTGATTCAGCTCCTGCTAATGGCCTGGGAAAGCAGCAGAGGATGGCCCAAGTGCTTGGGACCCTGCACCCATCTGGAGACCTGAAGGAAGCTCCTGGCTTCAGCCTGGACCAAATCCAGCTGTTGGGGCCTTTTGAGGAGTGAACCAGCAGGTGGAGGATCTCTCTCCCCCTGTTTGACACTCTGCCTTTCAAGTAAATCTCTTAAAAAAAAATGGGGCCAGCATTGTGGCATAGCTGGTAAAGGTGCCTCCTGCAGTGCTGGCATCCCATGTGGGCACTGGTTCAAGACCTGGCTGCTCCACTTCTGATCCAGCCTCTGCTATGGCCTAGGAAAGCAGGAGAAGATGGCCCAAGTCCTTGGGCCCCTGCATCTGTGTGGGAGACCCAAAAGAGTCACTTTGGATTGGCGCAGCTTCCTCTGGCCGTAGCAGCCAATTGGGGGGTGAATCAGAGGATGGAAGACCTCTCTCTCTGCTTCTCCTTCTCTCTTTGTGTAACTCTGACTTTCAAATAAATCTTAAAAAAAAAAAAAAAAAAAAAAAAAAAAAAAAAGTTAAAAGTCTCCTGGGAAAGACAGGGAACTAGTGGACTTTCCCCATCTCACAAACTGTCTTAATGTTCCAGTGGGCATAATCACAAAATGTAATTTATTTCAAAAGCATAGGGGAACATTTACATTTGAACAAGGTGACTAACAGGTGTCTTGGAAAGGAAAAAAGAAACCCATGGCACGAAGTTTTCATTCACATTTTGGGAGCAAAAATAACCTAAGTTTGACACTGTCGCCCGAGAAGGGAAAGGGGAACACCGAGTGGTAAGGGAAGAAACAGCTCAGAAAGGAAGGTCACTCCCGCTCTGCTGGAGTTTACAAGCAGGCCTGAAACAACAGCAGGGGAAACCACCCGTTCACATCTGTGCAGCTGCAGGCCCCGCAGTCCCAGTAGTTTCCCTACTTGAAATGACTCCCAGGCCGCTTGCTGCTCTTTCTGAGGTCCAGACAAGGTGGTCCATTTTCAGATGAACTCAGATTCCTCGGGAGCTTGGGCTCGGCTCGCCGTCGCTGGGCCGTGGAGAGGTCATTGCGCCCGCTCCACAGCCAAGCTGACCAGCTGCTTGCTCGCTCGTGCCGGTCTCACCTTTTCCCCATAAGCACGCGCAGTGACTGTAGCACAGGGGCTTCGCCTTTGCCCGTGTAGAAATGAAGGTTGCAAAGACACTCGCAGGGGAATAAAAAACGGTTCCTCAAAAAACACACCAGACTCCCAGAAATGCTGTGCAGGCACCTGATCTGACTAGCAAACCTGGGAGGGAAGATTTCACAGGTTCGAAGACAAATGCAGAGCCCGGGATCTGCGATCAGACAGGCCCAGGACGCTGAGCACTCCACAAACCTCCACCTGTTGGTTTAGCCTATAGATTCTACGGGCTAACTTGCACAATAATTTTGATTAATAGCATTCTCCAAAGTGGCAAAAGCAAACAGCACCCCTTACTTACAGGCCCTATGTTATCGAGTCCCTTTTCCTGGGAAGCCCTGCCCGGAGCCAGCCTCCTCCCTCCTATTCTCACTGTGTATCTCCTCCAGCTTCAATGTCCTTGTTCCACACCCCTGCCCCTCCCCCAGTTCTCCCTTCAGGAGCCCAGAGGCGCTGAGGTAGAGTGCCCAGGAGTGTGGAGCCTCTTGGTCGTCTCCCCTGGATGGAAGTGCAGAGTCCCAGGCAGGGAGCAGCCTGAGGATTTGAGATGGAAAGTCTCCTCCCCTTCCAGCTGTCCTACGCGTGAGGCTCCAGCCCTCTTTCCTCTGGGCCCTCTCTTTCCATTCCTGCGCTATGTTAGCAGCTGAGTTCTCCCTGTGGGCCAGCACCGCATCGGGCCTGAAGGTACAGTGCAAGCCGTCCTCCCCAGGGCCGTGTCTCAGTGTGCATGGGCTCTGGCCAGCGACAGCCATATACACCTGAAGCCACCAAGAGACCTGCCCTTGCTGAATAGGGCCAGTGGCAGGAGATGCAGACTTGGGGGACCAAGACAAAGTTCTCCCCTTAGGTGCTCCCACACAGCATGGAGCCGCCTCCCACTCTCACCTCCTACCCTCCTCGTCCGCTCCGTGGATCCTCCTGCCGCCTTCCCCTCACACAGCTGAGCAGCCTCGGGAGTGTTCCCAGGAAGAAATCACAGTTTATTCCCAGCCAGCCTCCTAGAATGGATGGCTTTTGGAGCGGAGATGTTGCTGGGAGGTAAGGAGGTGTGGCCAGCTGTGTGGTTCATCTGCTTTTTGGTGATAGCCAGTGGGGTCTCAGAGGCCATTTCTGGATCACCACTGCTGGGTGTAATTGGTTGACTAAGAAGAGGGAGAGCGGAAACAAAACAAGGTAGTTAGCAGTTTCTGGCCCCGCCGGCTTCTGAACATCGTGTTCAGCCTTTGAGGTCAGAAGACTCAAAGGGAAATAAATTAGCAGCCCAGTCCCACCCACCAGCTCATTCTCTCATCCTTGGCACTGTGTCACGGAACCCTTGACAGAGCTTGCAGCTCCTTGCATTCTGCTTAAGGCTGGCCGTCCTGGGCTGGCACTGTGGAGCAGTGGGCGCTCCCCATAGCAGAGTGCCTACTCAGAGACTCGAATCCCAGTTTCCTGGCTTCTGCCTGGCCCAGTCTAAGCTGTATCAGCCATTTACAGAGTTAACTGGTGAACAGTTCTGTCTCTCTGTCACTCTGCCGTTCAAATAAACGAGTTTTTAAAAAGACACTCCTGGGGCCAGTGCTGTAGCGCAGTGGGTTAATCCTCCGCCTGCAGCACCGGCATCCCATATGGGCATCAGTTCTAGTGCCGGCTGCTCCTCTTCCTATCCAGCTCTCTGCTGTGGCCTGGGAAAGCAGAAGATGGCCCAGACGCTTGGACATCTGCACCCATGTGGGAGGCCCAGAGGAGGCTCCTGGCTCCTGGTTTTGGATTGGTGCAGCTCCAGCTGTTGTGGCCAATTGGGGAGTGAACCAGTGGATGGAAGACCTCTCTCTCCACCTCTCCCTCTCATTGTCTGTAACTCTCTCAAATAAATAAATAAAATAGTTAAAAAATAATAAAAAGAAAAGAAAAAAACAAGGCACACTCCTGGCTCTGATGGCCTGTGATGAGTGAGACTCTACACCAAGTGCATTGGAGGCCGCCTCCTCTTATCGCCAGATTCAGCCTCGTGCCACCTGCCGAGGAGGTGGTGTTAGTTCATCATATGGAAGCGTAGCTGAGGCACAGTGCTTACATCACACTCTCGGGGGACCGCGATGCTAACACAGTCTCAGGTCTTCCCTTCCTTCTGCTCCGGCTGCCTCTACCCCAGCCAGCGCTTACAGCGACCCTTCATTTGTTTCTTCAGTGCCTGTCTTTCCAAATCCATTGCCAGCCCCTCCAACTAAGCTCAGCACTCAGTGACAGGCCCTGTCCTAACTACAATTCCAGCCCCCTCCGGGACTCCTGCTAAGTCTCTGGCCTTCCACACACGCACGCACTCAGCACAGTCTCTGCCTTTCACTCGCTCGCTCGCCCGCTCTCGCTCTCTCACCGTGAGTCGCGAATACTCATTGTATTTGGGAGGTCTGCATTGGCATGGGTTTGCAAGACCTGTTGACAAAACAAAGTACGTTACTCCTCTAACAGTTTCCCAGGATAAGAACACAGCGGGGCTGGATCTGAACCATACGTCTGTGGGCCTGGGGATGGGATGGGCTTGGCAGGCAGAGGCTGGTGCCTGGCTGCAGCAAGGTACAGGCTGAGCCCACCCTGAAGATCCTCAACTAGGAAGCCATGCTGCAGGTCCCTGTCTCACACTTCACAAGCTTGCTACAACTGGTGATAAGCTAAACTCACACGCCACCCTCTGGCCACCCCCACCTTCCCTGTTACTCCTCTTGGAAGAGGACTGCTGTCTTGGCCACCCTCTGCACGAGCGAGCAGGCTCTTCTGCAGCCCTCGGCTAGCACAAACTATCCAAAGAGAGTGGCAACCAAGGCCATGGTCGTGAGGAGTCTGGTTGGCTTTGTGATTAACAAGCTGCTTGGGACATCTGTGTCCCATATCAGAGTGCCCGGGGTTCAAGTCTCAGCTCTGCTTCTGTTTCCAACTTTCCCTGCTAACGCACACCCTGGGAGGCAGTAGTGATGGCTCAAGCAGTTGGGTCCCTGCCACCCATGTGGGAGACCTGGATTGAGTTCCCACCTTCAGCCTGGCCCAGCCTCCGCTATTACAGGCTTTTGGGGAGTGAACCAGCTGGGAACTCTATCTCTGTCTCTTTGCTTGCAAAGAAGTGAAAATACAAAGATTGAGGATGTTGGGGAGGGTCTTAGAGGGAGTGTAGGGGACCCTGGACTACAGAAGCAGAGCTCTCCTCGCCGCCTTCCCCTCCTGGGCCCTTCCCCAGAGCCTGGAGGGGTTTCCAGCCCTGCCCCCGCACCCCCATCTGTCGGGGTCCTGCAGTGGAACTGACCTGGATGGGCCCCCGTGGAAGCAAGCTGGCCTGGTCTTTGGGCATCCTTTTGGAGCTGCTGCTTGAGGGCACACTGAGTGACAGGGTCTTGGGCGTCTGGCTGTGGCGGCGGCTGCGGCGGCGGCAGCTGCTCGGGTGGCTGTGCTGGCGGCTGCGGGGGTGACTTGGACTGCGACGGAGCCACGGGTTGTGATTGTGCTGGTGGTGGCTGCGGCTTCTTGGACTCCTGGTGTGGCTGGGGCTTTTTCTCAGGTTGACAACGTTCCTTCTCTTGGAGTTTCTTCTGTTCCTGGCAAGAGGGCACAAGCAAGTGGCACCCTCCCCACTCCCTCCCTCCTCCCCGCCAGTTACCTGCTGCCAGAGAGAAACTTCAGGGAGAGATGATGGGAGGGGGGGCACAGTTCCCTGTGTCAGAGCTGAAGCTGGGGCCCAGGCTGTCTCCTCTCACCCTGCACGACCCCCGAGAATGGTTCCTGCGGGGGGCCGTGCCCTTGGCACAGTCCCTTCCTAGGAAGTAGCACTGTCTCCTGGGGGTGGGAGCATCTGCCTCTAGTGCAGGAGCTGAGTACTGAGGGCAGTTTTCAGTGCTAGCAAGTAAACAGGGGCCACTTGGAAATGCTTTGAAGCAGTCTGGCCCAGAGCCCCGCACTGGGGAGCAGGGTAGCTTTTGAAGCCGGCATCCTGTATTAGAGCCACAATTCACAGTCCAGCTGCTGCACTTCTGATCCAGCTCCCTGCTCATGTGTCTGGGACGGCAGGGAATGATGGCACAAGTGCCTGGGCCTTGCACCTACATTGGAGACCCAAATGGAACTCTTGGCTCTCAGCTTGCGGCCATTTGGGGAATGAACTAGCTGATGAAAGATCTCGATCTCTCTCTCTCTCTCTCTCTCTCCCCCCTCTCTGTCATTCTATCTTCCAAATTAAATAAATAAATCTTTTTCAAAAAGTCCTGTCCAATGAAAACTTAATGTGTGCCACATATATGATTTGAAATTTTCTGGTAACCACATACAAACAGAAGAAACAAGTAAAGCTAATATTTTATCTAATATATCCAAAACATGTGATTAACTTTAAAATACTTTCTGTTCTTTGTCTTCAAAAACCAGCATATATCTTAGGCTTAACAGCACATCTTCATTTGGACACTATTTTTTTTTTTTAAGATTTATTTATTTATTTGAAGGGCAGAAAAGCAGAAAGACAGAGAAACAGAGAGAGAGAGACCTTCCATCTGCTGGTTCACTCCCTAAATGGCCACAATGATAGGGCTGGGCCATACCGAAGCCAGGAGCTTTCTCCTGGTCTCCCACATGGGTGCAGGGGCCCAAGCACTTGGGTCACCTTCTGCTGCCCTCTGAGAGGCATTAACAGGGAGCTGGATCAGAAGTGAAGCAGCCAGGACTTGAACCAGCACCCATAAGGGATGCTGGTGCCCAGGCTGTGGCTTTAACCTGCTGTGCCACAGCGCTGGCCCCTGGACACTAAATTTCCATCAATAATATTTGATCTATTTAGATGTCATAGAATTTGTGGTTGAAAAAGTTTAGATTAACCTTCCCAAGGTGTTCCAAACTTACTTTACAATATTGCAATTTATAAAGTGAACATTTGCTTTTAAATTTAAATTACTAAAAATGTATATAAATGTAAAATTTAGTTCCTCATTCTCATTAGCCACAGTTTAAGGGCTCAACAACATATATGCTGTGTGGCTACCCTATTAGAAAGCAGGCATTTAGGGTGGCGCCACGGCTCACCAGGCTAATCCTCTGCCTGCAGCGCCAGCACTCCGGGTTCTAGTCCTGGTTGGGGCGCCAGTTCTGTCCTGGTTGCTCCTCTTCCAGTCTAGCTCTCTGCTGTGGCCTGGGAAGGCAGTGGAGGATGGCCCAAGTGCTTGGGCCCTGCACCCCATGGGAGACCAGGAGAAGCACCTGGCTCCTGGCTTCAGATTGGCGCAGCACCGGCCGTAGCGGTCATTTAGGGAGTGAACCAGCGGAAGGAAGACCTTTCTCTCTGTCTCTCTCTCACACTGTTAACTCTGCCTGTCAAAACAACAACAACAACAACAACAACAACAACAACAACAACAAAAAGCTGCCGCCTGCAGCGCCGGCCTCCTATATGGACACCTGGTTTGAGTCCCAGCTGCTCCACTTCTGATCCAGCTCTCTGCTATGGCCTGGGAAAGCAATAGAAGATGGCCCTAGTCCTTGGGCCCCTGCACCCACGTGGGAGACCTGGAAGAAGCTCCTGACTTCGGATAAGCCCAGCTCCAAAAGAAAAGAAAATGGGCATTTAATGCAGTGGTTAAGTCACCACTGGGATGCCCACAACCCATACTAGAGTGCCGGGTTCAAGTCCCAACTCCTCTACTTCTTCTTCTTTCTTTATTTTTAATATTTATTTATTTGAAAGGCAGAGTTACAGAGAGGTAGAGGCAGAGAGGTCTTCCATTCACTGATTCACTCCTCAGATGGCCACAATGGACAGAGCTGCACCAATGGCAGGGAGCTGGATTGGAAATTAAATAGCAGGGACCCGAACCAGTACCCATATGGGATGCTAGCACTGCAGGCGGCGGCTTTACCTGCTACGCCACAGCACCAGCCCTGCTCCTCTACTTCTGATCCAACTTCCTGGAAGACAGCAGGTGATGGTTCAAGTCTTGTGTCCCTGCCATTCGTGTGAGAGACCTGGATTAATGCAGGCCCCATCCAAGCTTTGGCCTGTCTCAGCCCTGGCTGTTGTGGGCATTTGGGGAATGAAGCTGTTTCTTCATAATATGTCTGGGAAAGCAGCAGAAGGTGGCCTAAGTACTTGGGTCCCTGCCACCCGCATGGGAACCCCTGATTTCTAATTTTTAAAAAAAATTTTAAAAGAAAATTCCTAGGCCTAGTAAAGTTGCAGCCTCGTAGAACATAAAGTGAGCCAGGTGGAACAGGTGTGCACACAGAGTTCATCCAAGGAAACTCCAAGTACCATCATCTTCCTCTTACCCCCAGCAGAGAGCAGGAAGCTTCCTAGGGAACCTGTCTTCCTCTCTGCTCCTTTCCTACCCCAGGGCAGGATGGGCCTGACCCCTCTCATGCACCTGCTCTTCCTGCTGCTGCTGCTGCTGCGCCATCAGCCACCTCCTGCGGTCCAAAGCCATCTGTCGGCGCCGGGCCTCCCAGTGGTAGGCACTGCCCATGATGGTGGAATGGTGGAAGGTCCCGGGCACAGGGTGGGGGCAGGCAGAGCCTGGGGCGCTGCCACTGCCCCCACTACCTCTGTCACCTTGCACCCCATCCCCAGTGGCTGTAACCAGAACCACCTCACAATGTGGCCACTGTCAGGGCAACTGGGCAGGTCCCTGCCTTGTTGGGGGAGGGAAGGTAGCCTGGAAGTCTGCCCTGGGCCTTTGTCTCCAGAGTCCTGAGCTCTCCGAAGCCCCCAGGACAGTAGAACCTGCTCTCTGTTCTGGTTTCTTTCCCTACTCTTCCCAGGAGGCTCTGCTGACCCTCCCTCTCCCCCACGGGCGCTGCAACCACCTGGAAGAAGAGCAACCGGGACTAGAACCTGAACCCATACGGGATTGCCAGCGCTGCAGGCAGAAGATTAACCAAGTGAGCCACAGCACCAGCCCCAATTAATAAACGATTTTTAAAAATATATTAATATATTGGCCGGCGCCGCGGCTCACTAGGCTAATCCTCCGCCTAGCGGCGCCGGCACACCGGGTTCTAGTCCCGGTCGGGGCGCCGGATTCTGTCCCGGTTGCCCCTCTTCCAGGCCAGCCCTCTGCTGTGGTCAGGGAGTGCAGTGGAGGATGGCCCAGGTGCTTGGGCCCTGCACCCCATGGGAGACCAGGAAAAGCACCTGGCTCCTGGCTCCTGCCATCGGATCAGCGTGGTGCGCCGGCCGCGGCGGCCATTGGAGGGTGAACCAACGGCAAAGGAAGACCTTTCTCTCTGTCTCTCTCTCTCTCTCTCACTGTCCACTCTGCCTGTCAAAAAAAAAATATTAATATATTCACCCAACCCAAAATTTTTTAAAATGCATGACTTGATTCTCTTGATTGATAAGACACATTGCTTTAAAGTTTTTTTTTTTTTAAGATTTATTTATTTGAAAGTCAGAGTTACACAGAGAAAGGAGAGGCAGAGAGAGAGAGAGAGAGAGAGAGAGAGGTCTTCCATCTGATGGTTCACTCCCCAAAGAGCTGCGCCGATCCAAAGCCAGGAGCCTCTTCTGGGTCTCACACCCGGGTGCAGGGGCCCAAAGACTTAGCCATCTTCTACTGCTTTCCCAGGTCATAGCAGAGAGCCGGATCAGAAGAGGAGCAGCCGGTTCTTGAATCAGTGCCCATATGGGATGCCGGTGCTTCAGAGCAGGGCGTTAACCCACTGCGCCACAGCGCAGGCCCCTAAAGTATTATTATCTTGGGTCCGGCAAGTGGCATGGCCAATAAAGCTGCCGCCTGTAATGCTGGCATCCCATATGGGAGCTAATTCTTGTCCCAGGTGCTCCACTTCCAATCCAGCTTCTTGCTAATGACCCAGTGGAAAATGGCCCGAGTGCTCGGATCCCTGCAAACATGTGGGAGACCTGGATAAAGCTCCTGGCATTGGTCTGGCCCAGCCCTGGCTGATGTGGCCATCAGGGAGTGAACCAAGGGATAAAAGGTCCGTCTCTCTCTCTCTCCTGTCTCCTCTGTAACTCTTTTAAATAACTAAATGAGTAAACTCTAAGAAAAGTACTACTTATTCCTGAAGGGTTCCGAGGGCGCGTCCTTAAATTCGGCCCTGCAGGACTCGCCTCCGCCTGGCCCAGGCCCCGGGTGATGACTACAGGAGCCCGGACCCCACGGCACAGGGGAGGCGCTCAGCCCAGGGCGCAGCTCGGTCCGACCCGCCCCGGGCGCTCGAACTTCCCGTCCCGCAGGGCAAACGCGCCCGAGTTCCCACGTCGCGCAAGGCTAGCTCTTTGCCTCCCCAGACCGAGTGAAAGAAAGAGGAGCTCCCCACGGAGGGAAGGGAAGCCTGCCCCCCCCCAACCGGCTCCCCGCACAGCCGCGCCCCCAGCACGGCCGCACCCCTGCACAACTTCCGTCCCCCGCACGGCCGCACCCCTGCACGGACGCCGCCCCCGCACGGCCGCGCCCCCGCACAACTCCCGTCCCCCGCACAGCCGCGTCACTCCGCACGGCCGCCATCCTCTGCACCGCCGCTGTCCCCCGCACAGCCGCGTCCCCACCCCTCGCGCCGGCCAGCCCCCAGCCCCCAGCCCCCAGCTCTGTCTTTTGGCTCGCGCGCCACCAAACCGCGACGCGGTCGGAGGCAGAGCCGGGCGGCGGCGGCAGAGCTGGGCCCTCTCGCGGTAGCCACGCCTCCTCGCGTCAGGGGCGGAGCATGCAAATGACTGCGGCTGGTCAGCCCGGGAATGCCGGGAGAAGCGGGGCTGTGACTTTTCTCGTAAAAAATAGGAAGAGTAGGAAGTGTGCCCAGGCGCCTAAGGAAACCCAAGAAGACTGTCAGGGACGCGAAGGAAAAGGGGCGCGCCGTGGGTGGGAGGGGGGCTGGGGCGGTCGCCGCGAGCTGAAGGTGCGTGAGGGGAGGCCTGCAGGAGCGCGGGGGGGGCGGTCAGGTATCGCTTCTCGGCCTTTTGGCTAAGATCAAGTGTAGTATCTGTTCTTATCAGTTTAATATCTGATACGTCCTCTATCCGAGGACAATATATTAAATGGATTTTTGGAGCCGGGAGTTGGAATAGGAGCTTGCTCCGTCCGCTCCGCGCATCGACCCGGTATTGCAGTACCTCTGGGCACGGTGCACCCCCTCGGGGGAAATAACGAGGTGACCAAAAACAGAATTCTGTGTGAAGAACTCTATTTCCGCTTTTATTAGAAAACACGGAGAATAAACTGGGTTCCTGTACTTACATAAGGCTTCCTGGAACATGAAACACCCCTAATTCTGTTGCTTCTGGTTGCAACTGTAATCCTAACTTAGCGCTTTGCAAACTTAGGTTGGGGGTTCGGAGATTACTTGGAGTCAAAGTGCTGTAAACGTCCCATTTACCCGTGTCACTCCAGACCCCGCACCACCCGAATTTGAGCACAATCTTAATCCAAGTGGAACTCTAGAGATCCATGTTGAGAAGGGGATTTCATTACACAACAGGCTGCCTCTCCCGTTGAAGGGAGCGTGAGCTCCAGCTGCGACGTTTGGCTATTGAGCAGCCCCAGGAGGAGCTCTATCTAGATCAGAGCAGAGAGGGGGACAAGTCCGAGAAGTTTGGTTCGGTTGGGTTGGGTTGGGTTGGGTTGGGTTTTTTTTTTTTTTTTTTTTTTTATTGGAATGCTTCACGAATTTGCGTGTCATCCTTGCGCAAGGGCCATGTTAATCTTCTCTGTATCGTTCCAATTTTAGTATATGTGATGCCGAAGCGAGCACGGGTTGCTTTTTTTAAGTCAACTATTTTAGGGACAGGATGTGCCTTTAAGCCCAGAGGTGAGGCCTGCACTTAAGACACCTGCATCAGGGCCAATGTCGCACACAGCAGTGTTAAGCCGCCACTGCCCGCATGCCATATCGGATTCAGTCCACACCGCCCCAGCTCCCTTGTAAGGTGCTGTGGCAAGGTGGGTCCCACAGATGGCCCAAGTCCTTGGGACTCTGCCAGCCATGGATGAAGCTCCTGACTCCTGGCTTCAACCTGGCCAGAATGAACCAGCAGATGGAGCACCTCTCTTCTTTCAGATAAATGTTTATGAGATAAGCAAATGCCTGTATCCCATATCAGAGTGCCTGGGTACAATACTCCAGCTCTGGCTCCTGATTCGAGCTTCCTGCTGGTGCAAGACCCCGGGAGGCAGCAGGTGATGCCTCAAAGTAGTTGGGGCCCGGCCGCCTTTGTGGGAGACCAAGATGACCCTCCCAGCTCCACTCCAGCCCAGCACGGCTACTGGCCATTGCAGGCATCTGGGGAGTGACTCAGCAGCGGTTGAAGCCATCACCTGCAGAGCCAGCCTCCCACGTGGGTGCGGTTCCTGAACCAGCAGATGGAAGCAAAAGCGCCTGCTCTCGCTCTCTCCAGCCTACCCGCTCTGTGTGTGCCCACTCCCACTTCTGTCTGCCGGCCAGAAGGGAACAAAGGAAGGGAGGAAGGAAGAAAAACGAAAAGAAAGAGCATTTGGAAGAACAAAGGGAAAAGTGTTATCTCACCAAAAAGCTTCCTTTTCCTTTTCCTATTCTGAAGTACAAAAGCAAACTGCTGGTTGGGAGACCTTTAATGAGGTCTTGCATCCACTGCAAAAGGAAAGAGAGAGAGAGAGAGAGAGAACCAATGATTCTGTGAGGAATCAGCGTGCTAGAAAAAACAAACAGTGCTTGCAGGTGCATTCCAGAAACTGGAAAGCCAGCTACGATTGTCCTCTCTGGTCAGCAGGACTGGGGCTCTAAGTGTATGGTAGCAAACAAAAGGGCAGGATAAGCACAGGCTCCAGACTGACTGGGCTGTGTCCTGATGGATGACACACGAACATCTCGGAGGTCATACTTCGCTGCTTGCATTTCATTGTGCAGTCACGTTGCACAGAATATCCTGCCATCTCCACCTCATGACGAAGCCAAGGCAGGGAACAAGTCTCCCAGGGAGCTGGGCTGCTTCTGAGATACCTGGTATCAGACCAGCAAGCAGATGGGACCTGGCTCAACAGCCCAACCTCCCCTTTGCACTGCTTAAAAGCCTCCGACCTGTAGCCAGCACCGTGCCTTGGAGGGTTAAAGCCTCCACCTGCAGAGCTGGCGTCCAGTGGGTGCCAGTTTGAGTCCCGGCTGCTAATTTCCGATCCGGCTCTCTGCTATGGCCTGGGAAAGCAGTAGAAGATGGCCAAGTCTTTGGGCCCCTGCACCCACGTGGGAGACCCAGAACACGCTCCTGGCTCCTGGCTCCAGATCAGCTGAGCCCTTGTTATTGCAGCCATTGGGGAGTGAACCAGCCGATGAAAGATCTTCACTTCCTTCTATCTTGCCTTTTAAATAAACAAATAAATCGTTGTAATTTAAAAAAAAAAAGCCTCAGATTGTGGTCACTGAGCAGGAAAGGACAGTATTTCTTGAGACCCCAATGTCTGCACTTGTCCTCATCTACCAACAATCTTTTCTTGACAATCAAATACTGTCCTCTAAAAAAGTTATTTATTTATTTTTAAAAGATTTATTTTATTTATTTGAAAGACAGAGTTATATAGAGAGAGGTCTTCCGTCTGCTGGTTCACTCCCCAGATGATCACTAAGGCCGGAGCTGCACCAATCCAAAGCCAGGATCTTCTTCCAGGTCTCCCATGTGGGTGCAGGGGCCCAAGCACTTGGGCCATCTTCTACTGCTTTCCCAGGCCATAGCAGAGAGCTGGATCAGAAGAAGAGCAGCCTGGACTAGGACCGGCACCCATATGGGATGCTGGCACTTCAGGCCAGGGCTTTAACCTGCTACACCACAGCGCTGGCACCTATTCATTTATTTGAAACTCAGAGTGACACACAGAGAGAGATATCTTCCATAAACTGGTTGACTCCCCAGATGGCCACAATGATGGGGGCTGTGCCAGGCCATAGCCAGGAGGTTCTTCTAGCATCCCACGAGGGCGCAGGGGCCAGATCACCTGGGCTGTGTTCCGCTTCTTTCTCAAGCGCATTAGCAGGGAGCTGGATCTGAAGTGGAAGCAGCCTGGCTTGAGCCGGAGCCCAGATGGGACTCCAGTGTCCCAGGTGGCGATTAACCCTCTGCCCCACAGTGCAGGCCCCGCCTTAGTTACATGACTCAGCACCAAGGGCAGGGACCCCGCTGTCTGGTACAGAGGACAGGAAGAGCTTGTTCACAGGGAATAAAGCGGTGGGTTAAGGACGTGCAGAGATGCACAACCTTTCTCAGGGAGAGACACGACCACTACACTGTGCGATACTGCAACACGATGGCTGGGCACGGCTGTGGGAAGCAGGCTTGGCTGGGACTGCTGGCTGCGCCTCAAGTTCCCGTCCCTGCTGCAGTGACTCCGTCCGTGATTTACTGCCCAGAAAGGGGTTCGCAGGCACCGGGAGGAGGGGTCACCAGATGGGCGCACGGGCTAGTGCTGCCCCTTTAAGTGGTGCAGACTGAGGAAGGGGGCTTGTTACTGGAGAATGGCAGGGTTCTTGTCTTCACGCAAGAAAGAATTCAGGTGCGAGACAGAGGGTAGTGGAAAGTAAAAATAGCTAAGTTCATTTGGGAAAGGGACGTCCATAAGAACGGACGGGCACCTCTGCAGACAGAACCTGAGAGAGTGCCCCAGTCGCTCGGGACTGGGGGAAGAGCGAGGTTACATGGGTTGGGTGGAGAGAACACACCCTGGCCAGGGCAGGCGGGCGGCTCAGCGTGGAGGCAGAGGGGCTGAGCGCGCAGTCCGGTTGAGGGCCGGGGGGTTTTCAAGGAGATGGGTCTTTGTCTTCACACATCTCCTCCTGAAACAAACGACTTTATGGGTGTAAATATGAGAAACTCCTATCTGAGTTTTTCCCCCCAGAAGTTATCAGGAGGAGGCCTAGCTGGCGCCACCCTGATTTTAGAGGAAGGGTGAGCAAGATCCCTGGGGGACCGGGATCTAAGCAGGGTAACGGGGGCGATGCGTAGACACGGACGGACAAGTCACAGTGACAGGAACTCAAGGGCGACACCACCATACAGCTCCACGTATTCCCCTCTCATCTCATTCCCAGCACAGGGACACTGAAGCCAACCTGGCTCCCTGATCAAGCGACCCCAGCACCCCAGGTGGGGCGGTGTGGGGCACAAGTTTGGTCAGCTTGAGAGCCTTTGTCTACACCAGGGTGCCTGGGTTCCAGTCCCTGGGGACAGCAGGGTACGCCCCCACGGGGGAACATGTGACATCAAAAAGCAGGCTGTAGAGGTTTTCTCTTTAGCTGTTGCCAGTTTGTGTTGGGCTTGGAAGATGCCCCAGTGTTGGGGCTTCTGTCTCACCTGCTGTCAGGTAGGAAGTCAGAAACTGAGCCCGTGTGTGTGTGTGTGGGGGGGGA